AGGGAGCTTGATTGATGGCCCGGGATAAACAAAGTCTGGGTGGGACCTAGTCATACGTTAGCTCTCTTCATCTAACTTTTGATGGAAAACAGACACGTCGCTGTGCTGTAGTTTTCTGCAACTCCACTGGAAGCCGTTTGGCTTCTCGGTAACAATAGATTGATTCTTTCGGTGGCATTATCGTAAGTGAAACATTACGAATTGCTAAATAAGACTGGGAAAAGTCAGAAGTGGTCAAAATTCAGAAACTGATGATAGATTCCGTGGAGTTTTCCCCTTTTAACTGTGCTGGAGTTTTTTCTCCCAGCTCTGGAAACGGTTAGCTAAACTCCTGTGTATAAAACAGAATTTTCAATAGGTCATGAATATTTAGTTTTCTACTGAAACAAAAGACTGCCAAGTCGGCTGTAAGATTAGTGTACAAACCGGGCTCCTAAGTGAATTTTGAAACCAAACAGTGGCTTGTGGCTTCCAAGCCGGCTGTCGGTTTAATGCAATTTAATTTACATTAAAAAAGAAAGAAACTCTGACCACTGTCTTCTCACTCAAGAAATTTCCCCAATGATTTTCTTAAAAAAAAAAAAAGACTGGATCTGATATGCCTTGCTCTGTAATTGGATTATGATTTTTTAAATATTTATGGCTGAAAGAATTAGTACTTTATTTGTACGACATCTTTGCAGATCCAAGACCTCATCCAGAATTCCAGTCATTCCACTCATGTTATGCTGGGAAGGAAATATTATGTAGCCAAGGCTTCTTTAAAACATAAACATGAAAACAAACCCTTGTTTCTGAAAAGAGTTAGGGCTGTTAAGGGATAGTAGTATGATTATCCAACAATTCCTTTGTTTACAAGATTTAGGTTTTTTTTAAACCATATAGAATTCCTGCAATACAAACATACATTTCGAAAATGTTAATCATACCGTGATGCGTGATTTGGTGAGAATCTATAACACCTTAGCTCCTCGGATTTATTTTTAAAAACTATGGTACGAGTGGAACTCACTACAAAAGCATACAAATTCACTTTAAAGAATTGTTTTTAATAAAAATGCTCTGCAGCTTTTAAATGTGGTTGGGTTAGTCAAGCAGCGTCTGGCAGGAAAATAGCGTTAGATACAGGCGCTGATCTCTACAACATTTGTGTAGCTCTTAAATAATTTCTTCGCATGCAGGCAGCGATCTTTTCCGAAGTCAACATAAACGTTGACTTCCTATCTTAGCATTAAGCTAAAGAAAGAGCGAACTGGCATTTTGTTCTTGAAGGAAGACCAGCTGGATGCATGTGTTGAGAAAGTGGACCAGGTTATCGATTGCAGTGTTTCAGAGGGCAGTGTTTCATGTATCTGAATGGGATGGGGCTCTGGTGACCATTTGCGGTTGAACGTGCAGGTTCAAGGGTTGGGGGAGGAGGGCAGGGAGGGGCCACCAGCGGTTGATGCTCTCACCAAGCCTTAAAACCCACCTTAGAGTCAGTTGCAGGACTCTTGAATGCTCAGCCAGAAGTGTTCCATGGAGTTTCCTTTCCCATAATTGTGTTTGGGTCACCTCTCTTTAATGAGCTGGAGGAGAGGATTAAATTATTCAAGCGTTTTCCTAGCTGTCTTCCCATAGTTGTGCGTACGTGTGTGTGTGATCCAAAGGATGAACATCCCGTCTCTAAGCAAAAAAAAAAAAGGGGGTGTCGATGATATCATTTAGATTTCCCAGCGTTCTAATTATGTATTGTTGTAATGAGTGAGGCAGCCAGTATTTGCTGATTTATTAGATTGATACCCTGCCTTTATTTTGTAGAACTCAAAGCAGCATACAGAATGCTCCTGCCTCCTGTTTTCCTTACAGCAGCAACCCTCTGAGATGGGTAACTTACCCTCTCCTGGTTTCTAGTCCAGAACCTTCACTGCTACACCAGACTGGCTCAGCAGGCAAGGTGGGGAACCTGTGGCCCTCCGGAGGTTGCTGGAACCTGAGCCAGTAATGACAAATGCTGGGAGCTGCAGTTCAGACAGTTTTCCAGATGCTGCTGAACAGATTTCTTCTGGATTCTCCCCCAAAACTGTTTGCGTTCATGATATCCGTTTCCTGCCTCTATCCCTCCCACTCTCCGTAATTTTCTTGCCATCTCTCCGTTCAGTACAAGCCTGTAACAGATTGATTTTTAGGCTTTATAGAGAAAAGCCACCGGAAGCCTCATCACCTCCCCTCCATTACTCCCTCTTGTGCCTTCAGTATTCTTTCTTAGGATCCTTTTAAAAGTGCATTTTTACGTAATAAAAACCAGCCACAAAGGATTCCGGAGGAAGTCTATAAAGGAAGAAAACAACTGAGCACCCCCCACCCCCAAGAAACAAAACCAAGAGGCTGTAACTGAATCCAACTTGCCTTGTGTCTTTATCATATTAAATAAAGAGATGCCTTCGACGCGACCTTCCCTCACCCTTTGCTGAAGGGGCAGAAGGACTGTGAAAATCTGGTGCCGTCTCACCGTTGTAGTAGTTTAGCAAAGGCAGCTCTTTATTTTTGCGGTTCCTCTTCAATCCAGGGAGACTCCCTTTTGGGTAAACGTGCATAGGATTGCGGAAAAAGCTTTCTAATGAAGTGCATCATTTCCAGCTTTTTCTTTGAATCCCAACCCTCTGTCTTTCTTTCTCGCGAAGAATTGTGATATGGAGGTACTTGACCTTGGAGAGTCCTGGACTATCTAGAGGGTGACAAGAGTGCCAAAGCAGGTTGGCTCCTGAAGGTTCTGTGGGTGGGTGGGTGGGTGGGGGAGGAAGAGAGAGGGAGAGAGAGAGAGACCCTTCTCTAGCAGTCCAGGTTTCCACTGCTTCAGCACCAGAGGATATATCTGCCACGTCTGTGGATAAAGAGGAGAGCTGTATTGATGGGCAGGACTCAAGAGCCCCGCGCACGAGGATTGTGTATCATCAGGACAAAGGGATGGCGCCAACCATCCGGCGGGGTGCGCCGGTAACGAGAGTTAATTACAAACCAATCGAATCCATTGCAGCCAATTGGTAAACTAATTGGTAATTTTAGCTGGACATCTATATGGTGTTATCAGGATGCTTGCAACGAGGGCTTGAGAGACACTTTTGTTTCGCTGCCTCCTGCTCGACAAAATGGCCTTCATAGCTTTGGGGAGAAAGACGGGCCTCTGTGACTTGGGGGCAGCTCCAGCTCCTTGTCTGATTTGTCACATAGGACTCGAGTTACGGCTGCCCACTCTGCGCTGATACATTTGGATAAGCCTTCTCTGAAATAGGCTCCTTGAAGCCATTAACTGTAATTTTGATGTGCTGTCAGTCCTGGTAATATAATTGCATGTTGTTGAGATGAGCTCAGTGCTATGAAACAGCAAATTATTAGGCCGAGACTAGAAAGCTTGCTTTTTACAGTTCCTCGCTCAGTTATACGGACCGAGCATCGTTGGAGTTGAAGCAGCGCATTTCCTAGCTGTACGCTCGGGGCTACGAGCAGCTCCTTTTGGGGTCACCTGCCTTAAAAAAGAAAATGTTGCTTCTTTAATATCGTCAAAGGCTTTGATCAGCTACTTTTGTTTGCCCAAATAAATGATGCCCATTTTCTTTTGCTTGCATTTAATATTAGGCCATCCCATTTCATTTTTTTCCCCCCTTGATGGATGAACATAGCTTCCAAGGACCTCGCCTGCAGAACGTGTCCTGCACTCAACCAAGCAACTAAGATTAGCCTAAAGAAGAGAAAGCTAAGGGGAGACCCAGTAGAAGTCTTCCCATCCTTGAAGGGCTGCCGCAGGGAAGGGGTGTTCGGATTTATTCTCCGTAATGCTTGCGGGCAGGACAAGAACCAGTGGTGGAAGCTTTATAGAGAAATCTAAACTCACAATAAAGAGGAATTTTCTGACTGTGACAGCTATTAAACAGTGGAACAGCCTGCCTTCTGAAGTCGGGAGGGCTGCATCACAGGAGATTTTCAAGCCAAGGTGGGACAGCTATTTGTCTGCGGCTTCCTGCCCTGGGCACCTCCAAGGTGCCTTCTGGCTCTAGGATTCCAGCACGTGCGAACATGACAGTTCCATTTTAGCATCATGGTTAATAGTTCTCGGCGGACGCATCTCTGTGAATCCCTAATAACTTTTCAAATCCATAAAAGCACCATTTAAATACAGTTGTCTCAAATTGCCTTATTTATTCGTTTGTTTTAGATAGCTGCCCATCTCACCTACGTGGTTCTAGGCGGCTTACAATAAAATATATAGAATTTCCGCAAGCGAGGATTATTGCTGTAACTTGTGGCCATGAACTCCCTAAGATTTAAATGTTCCCTATTTCCTACTTTAAGCACTGAAAATATTGCAAAAGGGTTTCTACAAATCAGAGGTCACCACATGAGTCAGGCCAGGGGACTCTCAACTTTTCCAGCAGCTGAGGACATGTGCTCCTAGTTTGGCTTGAACTATTCTGAAATACTAGGAACTGGATGAGTATTGCTCCGGTTTGCAAAGAGGGAACTATCCCCATGCTGCAGCCCCTGCCTTCTAAAGCATTATTTGTTTCTGTAGTTATTTTTTCCCTGGGTTACTCCTTTGTGGTTTTATTTTGTTGCTGCTTTTCGGTGGCTCCTCTTTTGATAAACACTTTCTTCATAGGAGGTGTTGATGATGTTAGACAACTACGTGCGAGATTTCAAAGCCTTAATAGATTGGATTCAGTTGCAGGAGAAGTTGGAGAAAGCTGATGCTCAAAGCAGGTAATTGGGAAAGAATCTTTCTCTTTCTTTCTTTCTTTCTTTCTTTCTTTCTTTCTTTCTTTCTTTCTTTCT